AAATGACGCAGGGCGGCGAGGGGCCGGGGAGGGGGCGCGCTGCGGAGAGCGCGGAGGCAGGTGGCGGAGCGGGAGTGGGTCCCGTCCTCTGTCGCACACACGTACCCACTCCATCCACACGGCGCCGGGCGGGGGGAGGAGGGGACATTTGTGCGAACATCTGGGGTAGAAGATGGCCCCTGAGTCTTCACGACCCCTCCCGCTCTGCACAGCACACAGAATCTGAAGTTGTGTGTGTGTGTGTGTGTGTGTGTGTGTGCGCGCGCGCGCGTGTGTGTGCCGGGGTGCGCACCAGTGTCCGCGCACTCGCACACCGGGTCTACCAGCGACCGTGCCTGAATACACAATATACCGTGGGCATCCTCACCGCGCGCGGGAGCGTGCACACACACACACACACACACACAGCGAATCACACAAACATACATAATTTATGCAGCCTTCAGGTCTGTGGGAGGTAATTTCATTTCACATCAAACTGGGAATTTGGAAGCAAGGCAAGAAGGAATGGGGAGGCACAGGAGACCTCCCCAAGTGGGACCTGCACTCATCTCCTTGATAGGGTTTGCAGCTGCCCTGAGATCAGTCATAGCAGAGCAGGCGCAGCAAACAGGAGGGTTTGGATAGGAAGGGCAATGCCGAATCTTCTTCCCCCTCAAATAAACAGTCGAGCTTAAAGGGGGGCGTGTGCATGTGTTAGGAGCGATAACCAACTTCCCCATCCGTCAAAGCAGGCCCCACGCTGGCCCCACCAGCCCTGGTGATGGGAGGAGGTGCCCAGGAGCCTGCCAGGGGTGAGCCCGGTACTGCAGCCAGAGCCTTGGAAGTGCCGCTGGGTGAGGGGACGCCAGGAAGGCTTTTCCTCCTTTCTCTTTCTCCTCTTTCCCCATAGATGGTTTCCTCATTCTCAATCACCTGTAGCAGCTCCAAGAGTTCAGTCAGAACCCAGACACTGTTCTCAGAGGGGAGAGAGGCTCACCCTGGAGAGTGGTGTGAGGGAGGAAGAACAAGCCCCACCATATTCCCTGACTCCAGAGATCCCTGTTCAGGGAGTGTACCCCTTGACCCCTTACCAACCCCCCCTCCACACACACACTGGCCCTAGACCTTCGGGGCCTTCGGGTGCTTATCTCTGCACTCAGTCTACACACCCTTTTTGGCAGTGGTTTTGAGAACAAATTCCACTCAAAAGTTTCTAACCACTTCACAAGAGAGACCTTGGAGGACCACGCAGTTTGTTTTTATCTAATAATATTTTTTAAAAGAACACGATTTACTTTCCCAGAAAACACGTGGATGCAGGAAGGAGAGGAGGATCGATGGACCATTTGGATGGGCCAGCAGCACCCAGCCCCAAGCCCCCGGCTCTGCGGAAAGCCCCATCGGCCGAGCCCTGCGATTTTGAGGCGGATCCGCACATTCTGCAAAGAACCCACAGCACTGGGAAACAACTAGATTCTTGCCTTTCCCAAGCCCTTCAGTTAACATTGCTCAACGCAGCTCCGTGGAGGGAATGCACATGATTTATATTCCGCTGGCTAGGTTGAAGAAACTCCAGGGAGATGTGCTCTGCTTCAAGAAAGGGGAAAAAAATCCCAAAAACTGTAATGCAGAAAGGCTTTGTAGTATTTTTAAACCTTTGATTCAGTCCATATGTGACATCTGAACACCGCCAAATTCTGTCTATGTTTCAACACACACACACACACACACACACACTCCTCGCAGGAGAATGAAGTTGGGTTTTAGCAGCAGCAGTGGTGGTGGTGGTGGTGGTGGTGGTGGTGGTGTAAGGTAGGGAGGGCTGACTGGGATGGCTCTTTAAATTATTCAGTATTAAGGATGCCTCCTTCTATGCCATTCCGTGTGCCCCCCTCCCTGCCTTAGCAGTTACTTTTAAAGGGGAAGTATGTTGAGATGAATAGAAAAAAAAAACTTTCAGGGGCTTACCTGGTTGGCCTCTCACTCCGCGTCCTGAAAAGTAGAGAGCTAAGAAAACCCAGGTGAGAGGAAACATATCCATTTTGGAGAAAGAGGCTCTCTCCAGGGCTGGATGTGTGGGTTTCTTGTATAATTGTAAGTCTTTGTGTTTTTCTCGCCCTTGTGGTCTTCCTCACAGTGTCTTCTGCGGAGGATTCTAATGGTCAGCGCCTCCCTCCTGGGCCCCGGCGGCCCGTCTTCACCTTTATCCTTGCTGGATCCCCACCTCACCGGGAGGAGGGTCGGTCGCTCTTGAAAACAGCCAAGAGGGAGCAAGCCGGGAAGAGGGGACGGTTCTCTTCTCTGAGACACAAAACGGATCTATGTCCTCTCCAGTTCCTCAAAGTATCATTTCCTTTATCCTACAACATCACGAGTATTTCCCGAAAGCCAAGCGTAAAAAAAAATTATAATAAAAATAAAAGCCAAGACTTGCCGTAGGCATCACACGGCCCCAGGCAGCTGTGTGATCTCAGAGGCGTAAACGGACACACATCCCCCGGCACCCGGGACCCACGAGAGGGCGGAGGCACCCACCGCCGGACAGCCCGGGTGGGAGGCGGCCGCCCGGCTCCAGCCCTCGCCGGGCTCCCCTAGCGGGATCCTCCCCCAACTCTCGCCCAGCGCCTCGCCGAGTGTCTGCGCGTCTGAAGATGTGCTGGGGGCGGGCTGCGGGCTGCCGCCTCGCTCGCGATCTCTGCTTCCCCTCGGGCTCCCCCCTGCCTTTTCAGGCAGAGCAGCATGTGGATGTCAGAGCCGCGGCACAGCTATCCGAT